TTCGACGCGGCTTGACAAGGCGAATGCGATGGTACCACTGCCGTAGCTCTAGGACCATTTTTGTCGAAGTTATTTGCGAAAAACTAAAACCACATTTCGGGGTCGTTGACCTGACCTCTGACCTCAGGTCACCAAAACTATTTTTCTATTTTTCTCTAGGTCAAACGCTATACAACCGTGCCCGTAATTTGTCTTTATCTCTAAAACTCTATTTTTAGCAGCTATTTGAAGTTTGCGTCTCTGACGCCGAAGTTTGCCGTGCAGGGGTCTAGAAAAATTGACCTTGTGACGTCATCAAGGGGGCTAGGTCCAAATTTTTTACTTCAGAAGATGTCAAATTGATGGGAGAAAAGGTACTGAAAGTTTCGTCTTCCTATCCCTAAGCGTTCGGGAGCCATCGCAAATATTCGCCAGGGGGGGGGGCGAAAAACGCCCCCCCCCCCGGGCCCGCGAGGGTTAAGTGGAGATTTGAGTTGAGTTGAGTTGAGCATTAGTGAGCTGTAGTAGACTAGGTCTATTCAATGCTCACATCGAGCCGGACTAGGAAATGAGCCATAAGGTCAGTTGTGGCGCGAGGATGCAGGTTTGGCAGCCCTGTGTTGGTCTAGTCTTCGTTTGAACATGTTTGTAGAAGTAGCCTCCACCACATCTCTAGGCAATCCGTTCCAGTCATTAACTACTCTGTTTGAAAAGAACTTCAGCCTGTATAGATGACTTGATCTGCCTTTTTTCAGCTTCAGATGATGCCCTCTCGTGCGGTCTTCATGGTCGACTTCAAAGAACTGATCGCTGTCCACCTTAACCTTCCCTGTCAGGAGCTTGTATGTTTCAATGAGGTCGCCTCGACGCAGTCTGTCTTCTACGCTAAGAAGTCCAAGACTGCGGAGGCGCTCTGGGTAGGGTGTGCTCCTTAAAGGTTTTACAAGCTTTGTCGCCCTCCTTTGAACTTGTTCCAGCAGCTTGATGTCCTTTGCAGTGTACGGGCCAACAGCCTGCATACCATATTCAAGATGTGGGCGGACGTAGGTGGTGAACAGAGGTTTGAAGTTGTCGAGATCCAGTCTATCAAATGCTTGCTTTAGCATACGTAGGGCCGACATACCCTTAGAAGCAGCTTTCTGGCAGTGGACTGATGGCTTCAAGTTGTTTGTGATGTAAACTCCTAGGTCCTTCTCCAGGGCACTGACTTGTAGTTTTTTACTGGTTGTGCCATCTGACATGAAGTAGTCTACACTTGGATTGTTCGAGCCACAGTGCATCACTTTACATTTTGCCTCATTGAATCTCAAAAGCCAGTCCTGAGACCATTTCTGCAGAAGTGATATGTCTTGTTGGAGAATCTCAGCGTCCTGGTTTGCTTGAATAGGCCTGTATATCTTGGCGTCGTCCGCAAACATTTTCATGTTGCTGCGCACAAGATCTGGCAGCTCATTGACAAACATGATGAACAGGACTGGTCCCAACACTGACCCTTGGGGGACCCCACTGATGACTGAACACCATTCAGAGTGATCTGTCCCCACCACCACTCGTTGTCTTCTGTTTGTCAAAAATGCACTAATCCAAGACAATACATTTCCCTTGATACCATATCCGTAGAGTTTCTTCATCAGTCGCTTGTGGGGTACACTGTCAAATGCTTTTTGATAGTCCAGGTACAGTATATCCACACCTCGTCCTTCATCAATAGCTTTCGTCCAGTGTTCGAGGGCCTCCAGCAGGTTGGTCTGACAAGACCTCTTAGATACAAAACCATGTTGTTGTTGGCTCAGGAGGTTGTTTCTCTCGAGATGAGCTGTCACACTCCTTTTAATCAACCTTTCCATCACTTTTCCAACTTGGCTGGTCAAGCTTACAGGTCTGTAGTTCCCTGGTTTATTTCTGTTACCTTTCTTATGGATTGGGACAATATTAGCATCCTTCCAATCTTGTGGTAATTGGCCTTCTTGAAGTGACTTTGTGAATAACTTGTAAAGAGGTCGAGTTAGCTGCTCTGCACACCTCTTCAACACAATGCTGGGGATACCATCAGGACCAGGTGCTTTTTGTTCACATAAGTTGACAAGTTCGTTTCTGATTGATTCAGTAGTCATCTCAATGTCTGTGATGGCTGCCTCAGGTTGCACGCGCTCCTCGAAGTCTGGTAGAGGAGTATCACCCTCTTTCACAAAAACAGATTTGAAGAAATCTTGCAGGGCTTCAGCCGTTTCTTGATCATTTGAGGTCAAGCATGTACCATTTTCAACTGCATGTATAGCTGGTTTGACCTTCTGCTGGCTCCTGATGTACTTGTATAATTGTTTTGGATTTTGCTTGCCTGTTCTGATCAATGCTGCTTCATAGTTGTGTCTGTGTTTCCTGATTTTACCAGTAGTGATATTACGCTGCCTGGTGTATTCTTTATAATCTTCACTTGACTTGGATATAGCATATTTTTTCCAGGCATCATGTTTGAGCTTCACCGCCTTGGTTAGATCCCTGTTCCACCAGGGCGCAGCCTTCTTGCTTGACTTTTTACTGTGCTTTGGAACTAGGGTTTCAAAACATTTGTTAATCCTTTCTTTGATGCAATGCCACATATCTTCTACTGTCATATCATTTAGCATATTCCAATCAACAATTTCTAGTGTTTCCCTGATCCCTGGGAAATTGGCTCTTGCAAAGTTCAGGCTTGCCTTACTTTTAATTGCCATTCTATCAGGTTTTTCTCCCAAGAAAAGGGTCCACGATAGGACAGCATGATCACTTTTCCCTAGTGGGTCCCCTATGTTGACCTCCTCAATCATCCCTTGCTCATCTGTAAATACCAAGTCAAGTCTGGATGGATCCTGTCCATCTCTGAAACGAGTAGGGTGACGCACATGCTGATAGAGGTAAAGATCTTGTATAGTGTCAAGAAACTTTGCTTCCTCTGAATCTTCACTTCCCTCAACTGTCTGACTTTCCCAATGTATCTGTCTGAAATTAAAGTCTCCCATGATCAATACGTTCCTGGCATTTACATTTGGCACTCTCTTCAGTAGGTTGTTCAATATTGTGTTGTCTTCTGGCGTATTACTTGGTGTCCTGTAACAAACTCCTACTAGTAGGCAGGCATGTTTGCCGATTCTGATTTTGCACCAAACACAGTCATCAATAGCGTCTTCGTTTAAATCATTGCATTCTTCAATCTTCCAGCAGTCCTTTACTAATATAACCACACCTCCTCCCAACCGACCTGCCTTCCTGTCCTTTCGCACCTGCTGGTATCCATTGATTTCAAAGTCATGCTTTTGCCAAACTTCAGTGATACCCATCACATCTGGTTTTTCCTTGTCTAACCTGCCTCTTAATTCACTAAGCTTATTGCTCAAACAGTTTGCATTTGTATACAAGCAACTCATTTGACAAGTTGAACCTACTTGCCTAGTGTCTGGGGACGACCTTCCCCCGAAAGATCCTGTAGTTCTCCCTTCCTTTTCTGGTCAATTCCTCCCTCAGCCTTTTTTGTTCTTCCCGTTCTTCTGGTGATAGATCATGTGTCAGGTACACATTGCTAAACCCAACATCCTTCAAGTCCCATCTTCTCTTCATCAGTGAATCGACATCCTCTTTGTTTTTAAGGCTGACAAGAAGAAGTCGAGGCTTGGGTTCTTCCTCCCCATCTTCCTGCGTCCTTTTCTTTCCGAGTCTGAAGATCTTGTTTACCTTGACTTCTTCCCTTTCCCCGAGCAGTGCACTCACGATGTTGTCAAAGCTGTCTAAATCATACTTCTTCCGGCTCTCCGGATCACTTGCCCTGCTTTCAGGTATGTTGTGAATGATGATGTTGGATTCTCTTTGAGCTTTATCATCCTTTTTTTCCATAAGTCTCCTTAACTCATTTGTGCTCTTTGCCATTTCTGTCTGTAGTTTTGGTAGAGTTTGCACTACTTCTGTGCTTTCTTTGATTGACTTCTTCATTTCAGCTTCCTGGGCTTGTATTTTCTCTGTGATGGTTTTCTCGAGCCTGGCCAGCTGTCCCTGGACCCGAACTCCTTCATCACCTGCAGGCTGCTTTTTTTCAAGAGCAGATATACATGACAAAATGTTTTGCTCTGCTTTTTCAATCCTACTCTCAAGCTGTTTTCCCATTTTTGGCATTCCCACGAAATTGGGCTTGCAGCCCGAGCAAACCCAGATAAAATCGTATTTGTATTTGTTCAAAGCCCTGAATGCCTCGATCGTCAGCCCCTGGCATTTGGGGTGAAACCACTCTTCACACATATCACAGCTAACTGAGTCATCTTGGTCTGAAATAGATAAGCCACATGCTTTCTTACCTCCTTTGCATGTGTATGCTGTCTTTACCTTTTTCATCGAACCCGGCGTTTCACCTTCTTCTCCCCCACGCTCCTTTGGATCTCTTGTATCTCCAGCGTTGTGTTTTTCTTGGTCCATTCCTGGCGCAGCGCCAGCGGGCGCCGCTTTTGTCTTGTTTTTCACACCACTTGACATCTAAATCAAAAGTAAGTCCTTCTTACTTTTTAGGTTGCTTTATTTTTTAATTGTCTTCTTTCCACTAATTGCTTAGTTAATTTTCCTCTGAGTTGTATCTTTCAAGTTCTCAAGCTTTCAAACCACTACCTCTAGGGCTGCAAGAGGGCATGGGGCAATTGTGGCGCAGGTCCTATCAGGTCAAGGACAGGTGAGGAATGAATGAGATCCAGCAAGTCATCCGTCACATCGACCCGGAGGTGCCGCGAAAGATAATAGCGGGCTGCCAGCACGCAAGTGCCTGGCGGCCAATCGACGTGTGCTATCGCAAGTCCACTATGCCGAGCGTGATCACAGCAAAATAAAGGCACGGTAACGCGATTTTCGTTGTTTTCGCTTGGCAAGTTTTAGCACAACTGTTCAAATTTTGTCCAGTTTCATACTGACTACCCGTTAGTTACATAATACACTAATGGTGGGTTGAAACTACGTGTATTTCTGTTTTCGGTCCTGGACCAAATGTCGTCATATGCGTCAAATACTAGGCGGACTAGAAACAGGTATGGTGGATAATGTGCTGCTTCTACCAAAACTAGTCCATCGATATTAAATTTGGCCTAAAAAAGTGAACATAAATAAATTGACCTCAGTTTACGCTCAAGCGAGGGTGAAAAGGTTATGTTGCATACAACTGAAGCCCCGTCGTTAAAAAGCACACCGTTTGGATGTGTTGATATGCGTACGCCCGAAGCAAGTAAGATAAGTTCGTCGACCGATCCCAGTTTGTTGGGACGCGATTCCGGCTGCGGCCTCCCGCTCATCTGCCGTCCTGAGCAGAAGGCTCCGGTGAGCTCTACCAGAGCCGAGACCTTGACAGGCCCCGGCCAACGCCGCCGCAAAAAGTGAAAGTCGCAGCATGTCTCTGATGTTCGGCTGGTCCCTGGCTGACCCCTGGCTGCCGGACGTCGCCTGCGGGCTCCGGCAGTGACCTGACCGCTGCCGGCGACCCCCGCCAGATCGTCGAACCGGCCCCTGCCCCCCGCCCCGACGGGATCGGCGGCGACCGCCGCTGAGTGCCGCGCTGCAGCCGGCCGCAGCGCGCTTGCGCGAACCCTATTTAAGCCGGCCGCGAGCTAACTCGGCCTAGTCTTGCAGCAAACATGCAGCTGGCTGCGGCTCTGGTGGTTCTCCTGGCCGTCTCGGGTGAGTCGATCGGATGGGAGGGCGCCCCTGATCGATGGGGAACGCGCGCCCTGACCTGACCTCCAATAGCTGCCAATAAAATCAAAATAAACCAGAGATCTATAAATAATGTCAAATCAATTTGTGATACCATTGGTGCTTTGTGGATAGAAAAAAATAAAAATATGATTTGACTTGGAATAGTAAAAATCTTACATCTATTCACATTGTGGCCCATGTCAATTACTTACATCCGTAACCTATGTAGCACTTGCGCAAGGAGCATGATAAATTCATATAGTTTTTTTGTAACCGAATCTCCTTGAAATCAGCAATGAAGATAAGAAGTAAGCGTGTATATTGTGTTTCTGATTATTCGTTACATTATGCGATAAGTGATGAATTTTCGGTCCCGGAGCTTCGTCTGGTCTAATATTGCATGTTTTTAGTACAAATTTGTTTTTGTGCCTCAATAAAAAAAGTCAAAAAGGCACCGCAGATAGGTATAGAAGACGACGAGAGAAATCACTGCAGTATGCGCAACAACCTTATTCATACCGGAGGCTGTTGCGTTTAAATAGCAGCGGTAACTAAATAAGCCTTCTGTTGCAGCCAACGGCCTCCGTGTGAAACGGCAAGACGCCGAGGCCACCGAAGATGAGGCGGTCCAGGCCATCTGCCTGGGCAAGGGGCCCGGCGAATGGTTCCGCCTGAACGCCGGTAGCGCCTCGTGCAATGTGGTCGTGCAGTGCACCTCTGCGGTAAGTGATCTCCTTGCCATAATGAGTGTATCGTAGTGAATATGCCGAAGCTTGTTTAATGAACGCTTGAAATGCCGACCGGTGTCAGAAACATGCATTTCTTCTAGATCACCGATTTCTGATTTTATAAATAAGATTGTTTACCGAAGAGCTGACACAAGTGTAAAATTATTATTTAATACAAAATAATAGTTACTGGATCACGAAAAAAAACTTTCAAATTGATCATCCTTGCGTATTCCTTCACATAGAAAGGTTACTATGAGGACGTTTGAATTTGTCGCTTGGTAGAAATTTATTGTTTCAAGAATTATAGTGCACGGCAAAAAGTATTGAATATCTCAAGCAACTGCCATTCACGATATAATAATAAGAGCAATTGCCAACTAAAGCGTAACACCGGCATTATTAAAACTAAAAAAGTCAGTTATTTTCCGGAGAACGAAAATTCGACAAAATAGGAAATAGGTAGCCAAATTAAGCCCGGGTTGGTGAAGGGAAAAAGAAAAACGTCTACCAACAATCGTATAGATATGTTGAAGCAAAATCAGCTAATCGTTAAAATCATCTGCCTAATATTCCCAAGCATTCCAATTTTTGTCCGTCACCGAAAGCTCGGTTTCATTGTTGTTGCCGAACGGCAGTGAGTAGCAACATTTCTTTATTAGGAATAGCCTCTCAGCTGTTGCAACCTCCTCGAGACCCGAGCACTGCACAGTAAGGTGCGCCGGTGCAACGTTGCTCAATTGACATTAGATAACTCAAGGTCATCCACGGCCAATGGAAAGTGACCTGTCTCGGCTTGGCCACAGAGAAAATGCTGTGCGGTATGGAGTCTTACGTTGCAAAAAAAAAATCACCCTTGATGTCGGCGCTAAGCTTACGCGGTCATGACAAGTCGCCATGCTTAGCTGCACCCAGAACTTCAGGAACAGGAAAGCCCGAATTCCGTGGATAGCGGTATCGTTTGCAAAATTTAAGATGTATGTGTTTTAAACTCAGTGTTTGCGAACGACAGCTCATAACAAAAAGTTGAATGATTCAGCAGACCTTGATGGATGCAGAAAACACCAAGTCATATCAAACAGCGGTAAAATGATGAAGGTTTTCGGTACCTAGCTACTCAGCTACAGCTTTGTTCCGGCTAACTAGTGAGTTGAAGAGTTCAACCATAAATCAGAGGAGGGCTTTAAATTTGCCCTTCTCTCATCTCTGTCCGTAAAGCCAAACATAAACACGTCTAAAATGACAAAAGTCCCGTCAGCAAACAATTCCTCTGTCATCCGACTGACCCATCTCTCTCCATTTACAGGGTCTCCAGCAGATCAAGTGCCCGCACGGGTTGGCGTTCGACCTGAACAAGCAGGCGTGCGACTGGAAGGACACCGTGAGCGACTGCGACCAGACGCAGCGGCCCAAGCTGGTGCTGCCGCGCATCAACACCGACGAGCCACTGTGCGCCACCCAGGACGAGCTCGCCTGCGGAGACAGCACCTGCATCGCACGCAGCCTCTTCTGCGACGGCAAGCCCGACTGCGCCGACTCGTCGGACGAGAACATCTGCGGTACGTATTGCAGCAGCTCTGAGCCAAAGAAAGTGCGTCCTAGTTATCATGTATGCCCTAACGCAATTCGAAACTATTTCACATACTATTTGGTGCATAAAATTGAAACCTGAGCGTGGCTTCAATAGGCTAACATTCCTGCTCTCTTGACCCAGACTTGACGTGTACCGTTCGTCCGCAGATGCCGAGAGCGATCCGAACCGGGCGCCGCCGTGCGACCCGGCCCAGTGCCAGCTGCCCTCATGCTTCTGCTCCGAGACCGGCAACCAGATCCCGGGCGGCCTGGCACCTGAACAGGTGCCTCAGATGATCATGATCACCTTCAACGGCGCCATCAACAACAACAACATTGACCTGTTCGACGACCTCTTCAGTCCGTCGCGCCTCAACCCGAACGGCTGCCCGATGAAGGGAACATTCTTCGTCTCTCACAAGTACACCAACTACACGGCCGTGCAGGATCTGCACAACCGCGGCCACGAGATCGGCGTGTTCTCCATCACGCAGAACGACACGGCCAACTACTGGACCAACGCCAGCACGGAGGAGTGGGCGCGTGAGATGGCTGGACAGCGCTACATCATCGAGCAGTTCGCCGGCATCGCGGACAACTCCGTGGTCGGCATGCGCACTCCGTACCTGCGCGTCGGAGGCAACAACCAGTTCTCCATGATGGACGACCAGACGTTCCTGTACGACTCGACCATCACTGCGCCGCTGGGGGACCTGCCGATCTGGCCGTACACGCTGCTCAACAAGATGCCGCACCCGTGCCACGGGAATGCGCAGAAGTGCCCCACGCGTGCCTTCCCCGTCTGGGAAATGGTCATGAACGAATTAGATCGTCGCGAAGATCCTCGCATTGACGACAACCTTCCTGGGTGCGCTCAGGTCGATTCCTGCTCCAACATCCTGAACGGTGAGCAGTTCTACAACTTCCTCAACCACAACTTCGATCGCCACTATCTGACCAACCGCGCCCCGCTCAGTCTCAACTTCCACTCAGCCTGGCTGAAGAAGGGCGACTTCCTCGACTATCTCCTCAGGTGGATCGAGGATATCCAGATCAGTGTCACCGACGTCTACTTTGTGACCATGACCCAGGTCATCGAGTGGATGCAGGAGCCGCTGGATGTCCAGCAGACCAAGACGTTCGCCAGCTGGCTGACCAAGTGCGACGAGTCCACCGGCTTCGAGTGCACCAAGCCCGGCGGCTCCAACTGCGCGCTGCACACGGACGGCGTCGCTGGCACTTTCAACATGCAGACCTGCAAGAGGTGCCCACCGAACTTCCCCTGGCTGAATGACCCGAGTGGCAAAGGCTACTTCTAGATAGTCTTTTTGTCTCATTTCGACGGCGCCAGCATAACCCGCTCGGTCCGTAAAATGTCATTGTTTCAAGTATTTCTAGCAACCACGCAGCGCGCAAAGCGTACCTAAGTGTCTCCATGCCCGATGTGGTCTCATAACCAAACTCAATTCGCATTTCACACACCATTCAGTTAAAAGATCGCCTAATCAACAGGTGGTGCGACTATCTATACGCCAATGGAACATTCTTGAGTTCAGGCTGGCGCCTAGGGTGTCCAATATGACAGGGACCATAATGCATGATGGGAAGACGCAACCAAATCAGTGCTGCGATATATTGCCACATCTTGTTGATTCATTGTTGCCGAGTACAAATGCACGATACGAGGTCGTGTTTTGCATTTTGGCAGCGGTATGGTGCGACATAACATTGCTGTGATTGGAATGGTGACTGTGCTGATGCTACAATCACGCCATGTGTAGTTGGAGTGATCGACTGTAGGACGAACAATACAGGGCAGGCCGTACTGCCGTCATTTTCACTGAAACCGCCGTTTAAGACGGACAATAATGGTAAAAGCTCAATGGCACGCATGACGCAACCGTATCTACGATAAAAGCACCAAAGCGACGAACCTCAAAGAAACGAGACACATTTTCCATAGTTTTGGAAAGGCACAAAGCCAACGTAGCTTTTCGTCTATCGCCATAAACCACGACCAGCACTGCACAGGGTATCCTCCTCACACGACCAGCTCACCTTCAGCTTCAGAGTGAGGCAATGGGGAGGGGCTGGAGCCAGCCGAATGTTGGAGCACCCACACCGCACGGTTCCAAAGGCAGTTTAGAGAGTAGGTGTCCTTACGGCGACTGACGTCATAGCCATTGTATTGGACCGGATAATCAGACTTGCCCCAGCCGTCTGGCTATTTACATTTCTAGTTTTCATCAGCCAGTCATCTACACAAAATGCGGTGTTTTGGACAATGACATTAGTCGTGAGTGGCACCCTAGTTAGCAATAGGCGAATAAAATCATCCTGATCGGATGAACGACAATGTATTCCCCAAAAATACTAATTAGGAGTCCCTTTCACCACTGCACCAGCAAGGTGGACGGGACGACCAGTATGAACAACGCATAACAATAAACAGTCTTTTCTTGTCGGGTGCTCTGCTGATAGGACGAGTCGTCGGGTTGCTTTCACTGGCCATGGTCACGGGGACGTGGCCGTGGATAAAAACGTTATGTCGCAGATAGATGCCTTCTGCGGCTGGAATAACCGGCCTGCGTCCCGCCCACTAACGGTATCGGCAGCTCAGCGAGATCTGTTGGAGATGCGCGGTCACAAGGTACCTGGTACATCCATTAAAAATAGCTAGAAGTTTGTAAATGTGGCGTTAGAGGCAAAAGCTGAAGTGCACATCAAATAAGCCAAATAAGTCACATCAAATAAGGTATATAGGGCCTTGAAATAAGCGATCGATATCAGAGTTATCATAGTTATAGCTAGAGGTAGTTACAATGAGTCATATGCTATGCATGCTATCATCACTGACTATTTTGAACATTTCCAGAATCATCTCAACTCAGTAGCGGCGGAACACCAATTAAGGGGGGGGGGGGCTGCCAACTTTTGGCCCCATTCTTTCCATGCAACGCCCATAGGGCTAATGTTAAAACGCCAAAATCAAACGGGGGAACGGTGCCCCGGTGCCCTCCCGTTCCGCCGCCTATATCCCAACTTACATAGTATAACTTTACTTATAACTTTCTCGGGACATGTCGATAAAATTAGTCCAGACCAGAGAAGGAGCTCTAAGTTTATCTGGCTCTCGCTAGAATGTTCTCCGGGAAGCTCAAAAGTCCCAAAGCACCAGGGTTTTGTCTCTGAAGTCCTCACACTCAACAAACAGAACCACTGATCCTTGAGGCCGGATGGCAGCCTAAGAGGATCATGGCATTTTCTAGGAAAGTGGAACAAAGCGCCTTGTGCTCTTTCTTGAACAGATAAATCTGACCAGGCATCCATGGTAGTACCATCTTGTGTCAGTGTACAAAAGGTCCACTCTCCTGCACCGTCATGGAGATAAGATGAAGCGGGAGAGACAGCGGAAGGCGGAGGCTACAACACCGCATTTTTTATAGAAATTTTGTCCGAATGGATGAATGGGTGACTATGGGCCCGGGTGTCCCGCTAAGCAGTGCTTGTTACGAATGACACCACGGACCCACCTTGCCCGCGCCCGGCTCACCGGTGATAATTTGGATAGAAAGTTTAACGTGCCGCAGGTAGGTATATAGGTATATGGCGACACGGTCATCCCGGGTCTAGCGTGGCTCTCTCTCGCCAGTTGCCAGTTGGCTTAATATAGGAACGCGGGTCAAACGACGTGGAGCTTCCCGGCCGCAAACTCGCTGCCACCGAGTTATGAGACGGACGCCTTATCCACTAGGCCACGGGGAGGATTTGAATCCCAAAGACGCCAAGCTAAACTAATTTAGGTCCACTCCGTCTAAGCGTGCTGGAGTAATTCGCGAAAGACAGGTTGGCATCACCCCTCCGGCCCTTCGTGCCGGCGGCGAGCATTCATTCCTTTGACAAGCTGCTTTTGCCATGACTTTTTCATAGGAGCAGTGTTTTATGAAAGATAACTGATAACGACTAGCTTCTCCAGAGATTTGTGCAAAGGAGGTCAGGGTAAATGAGCATTGAACAGGTTTAGGACACATGAAATCCTGTTCATGTTTCAGGTTTCAAGATAATGAAAAAACACTCATGAGTAAGGGAGAGTGGGGAAAGATGCCCAGGGTTTAACTATGTCAGATTTTATTCGAAAATGACGATCGGAAAGCAAAAACTTGGAGTTTCAACGGAAGCCGACATCATTTTTCTCCAAAAATATCACACTTTCGTGCCTGAAATATGATAACTTTTTTTGCTATTAAGCATTTCCCTGAAGAAGTGAAAGGGGGCATCTTACCCCACAGGGTGGGAAAGACGCCCCCTGGCGTTGGGTAAGATGCCCCCTGCACTATAAGTGACATAAATGGGCACGTGAATCGCGTGAACGAATCAGCAGTCCCTTCGAGCCTGCAGTAGACACCAAACGTCATCGTAAGGGCCCTAAAAAGTAGTCGTAAGGGGCTTCAGAGGTCATCGTTAGGGCCATCATAGTCCAGCGCGGCCAAGCAAGCCTCCGTGGTGGCGTTCGGAGACCACTGTGGGGCCCTTATAGGTCTTCATGATGCTTGAGGGCCCTCAAGCCCATCGTGGGGATCTCAGATGCCAGCACGGCCCGTGGAGCCAACGTGGGAGCCCTCAAAGGATGTCGTGAGGGGCCCTGGAGCCAATAATGGGGCCCACAGAGGCCGTCGCGAGGGCTCTCAGAGTCAGATGCCGCCCAAAAAGTCGCTGTATGGGCCGAGAGACCGGCATGGGGAGCACCCGACCGTACTGGACTCTCAATAGTCCCAGATCGGCTTTTGTCTCTAATCACAAGTATGTAATAAATGATTTGATGGGATGCTTGAAGGACAGCCTACGAATTTAGGGGGGCGTCTTTCCCCATCAGGACAGGGGGCATCTTACCCAGAGGTACCGAAGTAACATTAAATCAGTACAATTTGTTAGCCATAAAACTACACCCTGAAACAAACTGTTTGGGACACAGTACACGCATTTTAATGTATCACGACTATAGCAAGGGACGCAAAAATTATCTACCTTCTTTGATATTTACAATGTTTTGACAGCAAAATATTTTTTGAAAGCAGCAAATAAAAAACATGCAATCGCCAGCCAGCCGTTGCCCAACTGAGCTTCGCAAATTTTTGTGCAGTTAACAAGGCAGGCTTCCGCTTTACGCTAAGAACATTAATTTCCAGGTTCGATTCTTTGTTTCGCCGCTAGAGGGGGTGGGGCGTCTTTCCCACCCTGGGCATCTTACCCCACTCTCCCCTAACTTATCAGATCGCTTACATTTGTTGCATTACATTTAGTGTGCATATATTTTCTCGGTTAAATAGATGGGACCAAGGTTCCGACTCGCTGTCTGTTTCCACCAGTTTCAGTAAAAATAATGACCTCGCACAAAACAAACCAAAACATAGTCCACAGATGCCGCCGAATGGCGCATCACCTCACAATATCTAACGGGCAGGCCACTTTATTGCAGCACCGATGACCCTGAATGGCTGCTTACTCCGCTCGACTTCACCGGCCGGTCGGACTGCCCCTCTCCCCGGGCCCGGCAGACACCGGGTCACCTCGGCTCTTCCCCCGTGGCGCCATTTCACCGGCGCGCCAGCTGCAACCGGCGGCGCCCAAGGTCGGCCACCGGTCGACCCTTCTGCGCCCCCACCGAGCACCGACCGCAGCTCTTCATGGCCGCACAGCTGAGACGCAGTGCAGCGTTGGACAAGTACTCGAGGTGCATCGTGTCACCGACAACGGTATCGTCCCGCTGTCCAGTAACCCGCCTCAGCGACCGGTGGGGTTGGAAGAGCAGGCCCATCGCGGACGCGACGCCTCGAGCGAGGAGGAAGACCAGTTTCACGCCTCCTCGAGCCGCGGTATGAACGCAGCGGCAGCGGGCAAGGTTACTGGGCCGACCGGGTCCGCTGGTCCGGTCAGTGACCCAATACCGACCCGAGGGAAGGGGGAGACACGCGCCGTCCTCCGGAGGGAGCCGGATCGACATACACTGTTCCGCTAGATAGGACATGTCAAGGACATTCGATAAAGCAACAGCCGGTCCATAGGCGAGTGTCCAAGGAAGGAACAGCTGATGTAATCGTGGGGTACAATACGCGCTCAGCTCTTCGAAAATAGCACCACCGTTGGCGTTGTCACTTGTCCGTTGGGGCGTCAGCTTGTACCGACAGTAGATATATACCTACTTACGTCCATCACCTCGATTCACCTGCAACTCCAAATTGAGATGCGCAAAAGCAACGGACAATCGTGACATATAATTGCTTCTGGCATCGAGTTCAGATCTTTTCAAAAGGCGAATCAATCAGACTGCGTAAATTTGCTCTAGGCATATGTACAGGCTTAAGTAATGTGAAAGTCCAATGCCATCACTCCTCGGCGTTCCACGCAGTCACTTGCCCCTGGTGAGGAACGCGCTTCATTGAATAAATAGCTCAGGCCAGAAACAATCACAGGCTCTTAGACATCCGGTCTATCGACGGTAGCAAGGGCTCATATGTCTCTGCATGACAGTCATTGGACTGGATATCCTGTCTTTCAATGAGACAGGTATGGCCTTGACGTCTTCCAGAATAATCGCGCAGCGTGTCAGTTGGAGCTGAGAACGGCAGCCTTCTCCAGCAGACCATGGTTGGGAAACACAGACGATCCATTGTTTCAATACATGGGATATAACAATGACGCAAGATTGAAAACCAATGCATTGGAGTGACGTTTGGTTGATCCCTCCATCCTGAGTGAAAAAGCATGCTTAACAGACTGACTGCCTCAAGTGATAAAAATTAAAAGAAACTCCCCAGCCGCACCATTGAAATGCAAGCACTTGCCGCA